AGTTGATGGAGAATAATTAGTGACAGATGAACCCATGAATTGGGTGGAGTTACCCGCAAGAAATGGGCTAGAGTCGCGTGCTATAGAGACCGACTTTCACAATAAGCGGAACGGCGGAGTAGGTGTCTACGCGTTTTGCATGGCTCTAGGTGTGACCGAATTTGTGGTCTCTTTTTCCGAGAATTTATTGCTCAACCTCCTCTGCCTGTCTTCAACATCTTGCTATTATGTATTGATTTTTGATTGCCGTCATTTTGGTACTTTAGGCTTAGTTTGGCAGCTTAGATTTGATGAGAAAATAAAAGAAAGTGAGAGAAGATATGTTCGGAAATTGTGAAGCGACGGAAAAGAAAGGAAATAGAAAGTTTTGGATGGATCTGGGGGTGTCAACGAATCGGGTTTGGACTCGGACCCCGACCCGGATCCAATCAATTTTTCCAAGTTTGGGTTGAAAAATAATTTCGATACCCAGCTCCGAATTCGGATCCGTTTCCTTATACCATATAAGATTGAGTTTTGGTCAAAGAATAGGTTGAATTTCAACCGCATAGGTGGGGGTTTTCTGGGAATGTGAAATATTGTGTATTAGTTTAAAAGCTTTAGGTACAAGTTAATGAAGCATGTATTTGGGTATATTTACTGAAATGACCCCATTTTAATACATTTAAAGTTGACATTGATGAGCTATCTGGGTATTGATGGAATGTTTAATTAGTGTGCAACTGTTGTTGCATTTTGTACAACCCATATATGCTTGTGTGTTGGTATAATTACCGAAATATCCCTTAACTACCAATAATTCCCCATTTCAGCCGCAGATAACCGTTTGAGATATTGTTTTGTTTGAAGCGTTTGAATGGCAATCGGATTTAGGAAATGAGCCAACGATTTCTCTATCAATGGTAGGAACCCATTTCTCTATCATTTATAATCTGCATTTATGACCCATAAACATTGGTCAGTTTATCCCCTTTCAGTTTTAGGAGTTAAGTTTTCTTTTTTTGCCTTTGTCTACAACGATTTGCCTCATCGTTTTCTCTTCCATCCGAGATCAACTCTGAAATTACTTATTATTTCGTCATTAATTACACCCAATTCAATTACCCAACCGTTGGTATGTTAATTAGGGGTGGCAATCGGGTCCGTTTCGGGTTGGCGGGTCGGGTTGAGACTCGAGTATAACAGAAAATCCGTTGACCTGAACCTGACCTGCCAACCCGAAACGGGTCAGAATATCTGACACGAACCCGAAAATTTCGGATTGGCGAGTTGGCGGAGGTCAACCCGAAATGACCCGAAATTTATTTTAATTTATTAATTTATCACTGTAATTTCTAATAAAATCAATTTTGTACAAGACTAATTACATAATCAAGTAATAAAAATTTAAATAAATAATCCCAAACCAAATCTAAAATAAATTAAAACAGTATAAAAGTAAAAAATAATATAATACATTATTTGTCCAAATATAATAATTTCAACTTCACACAAGTTAAATAAATTCATTTAAAACTAAGTGATTAATGCCTTTGGAAAAAAAGAATAACTTAGTTTAGTTAGATAAAATAATTTTTATGTTTATTAAATTATTTTAAATTCATAAAACTGGTTATCGGGTCATATCAGGTCACCCACGGGTTGACCCGAATTCGACCCATTTTTTTGGGATCCATCGGGTTCGACCCGATTCTGACCCGAACCCGCGAAACCTCAACCCAAATCCATTAATTTCGTATCAGATTCGTGTCATGTTTTCAGGTCGTGTCGGAAATTGCCACCCCTAATATTAATGCCTAAACGGTTGATTATCAGTTTCTCCCTGTTCGCATTCTAGGATTGAGATAATTCTAACTGGTTTCATACTAATCAGCTCAGAATGCTCTTCAGTCCAAGCTACTCCTGGTGGTTCAGCGTGAGGTTAGATTTCACCTTCCCAATTTTTCAGTTCCTCCCTTAATTTTGTCGGTGTGTTCTTAGTACCTACAATTAGCGACTCTTATCGCGTTGTCTAACTCCAATTGGTCTGGGTTGGTTATAATCTTATAGGTTTGCAGCAATAGCAAGTAAGAGCTCTCGGTGGAGATTCTGAAATAAGGTTAGCTTTCTGTGTTGCTCTGCCTTTCTGCATTATCAACGACCTTCAATTTGACACAGTTTTATTGTAACGCTGTGTGAATTGATTGATTATATCGTTTATTTTTTCATACTAAGTTTTATTTCTTCTCACAAAGTACTATTGTTTGTTCAACAAAAAAACCTCCTTCCCCACAAGGACCAAACACCCGCGCGATGAGCGGGCACTCCCCCCTAGTACTCTAATAAAAACGGGTCGAATACGAAACATAAGATTCTGACCTATATTCGACTAGGATTCCAACCCGTATTCGATCAGGATCCGAACAATATATTAATAATTATAAAATATAAATATTTCTAAATACATTCTTTTACCAAATTAACAATTTGATAATGACTTTGTAAATTGATTTGTAGTTAGTTTTGGATTGACTATTGCGAGCTATTTCTGATTTAATTTTGTAATTTGATTTGTTTAAGTTTGGAGATTAGATTTGTGATTGGTTTTGGATTTAATTTTGGACCTTTTAGACCCGACCCGGATCCAACCCAGACCCATCGGATCCAGTTCCGAGACTCCAAGGTCAAGAACCGTCTGATATACGGGTTGGGTTCGGATCTGCTACATAAAAATGGTCCGGATCCGGAATTTTCAATTCCGATCCGAATCCGACCCGTTGACATCCCTAGATGGATCACTTTGACAATAATAGTTGAAAATTTTTTTAAAAAAAGTTGAACCAAACTTTATAAAATCTTTAAACTATCATTTTTATTCCTAAATGTCTATTGAACAAAATTTTATTGACATATGTATCCAATATCATTTCATTTCCTTTCTAAACTTCTAAACAACATCAAAACCAAATCTCGTCTTTTCTTTTCTTTCAGAACTTAAGCTTTCTCTTCTTTTCTTTTCTATCTTAAACTCCCAAACTAGATGTTAGTGAAAATTGGTTTCATTTTCAAAGTTGTCAAAATATTACTTAGGTTGAAAAGACAAAATAGGTCTTGAGGGCATGACTTATAAATTCCGAGGGAATAACTCACAAATCCCTTTTTTAATTTATAACAGACCATTAGGAAAATTATATCTAGTGACTCAAGACTTGCTTTGTATTTATCTACACTTAAATTTGTCGTGTAAACTTTTAACTTTGACAAGACAATTTAGAATTGTCATAAATTCATTAGTAATAAAATCTCAAGAGTCCCTTTTGCACTTCAAAAGTACGATTTTACTTGTCTAAACTGAAATTTATAATGTCAAGACAAAAGGAAATGGAATTGCATTATTAATCAGGCAAGTGCTATTGCCCCAAAAAGAAGAATAAAGGGGCAAATGGTGGTACTGGTATCTCAATTCATGTTGTGGCGTTTTCAGGCTGTAAGTGGAGACTATACGGCGTCGCTCACGTGAAATTGCTCTTTCATGAAGATTTATCAGAGCTAAAATTGTATTTAGTTATAATACTTAGGATGTAAACAAACAATAGATTAGGACTGCACGAGTCAAGTCGCGGTGGCGTCATATGCGTCACTATCCAAATGACAGGTTAAATATGCACTAAAAATTATAAATCTATAAAATTAGCAAACGCAATCAATCTAAAAAGTTATGAACAGATTTGAAATGTACAAAGCTTCATTTTATGCATGTTGCAATCGCCAGACCTGTTAATCAATGATTTTAAACTCCAAAATATTAATGATTAGATTTGTTGAAATGAATCCAAGATCTAGAAAATTTTTAGATCTGATAACCAGATCTGAAATAAATTTATATCTAACAACAAAACAAGCAAAAAAAGAATCTAAAAATCTCCATAGAAACCTATAGGAGAAAAGAAATTTCTCACTAGTAACCTCAAGGAAAAACAGAAAACTCTCTTTAAAAAAATTTAGGTGAGACTTTATTTAGAAAAAAGATGAAAGTCATGGGAAGGAGACCCTTGAAGCGAAGGCCTTTGAGAAGAGAGAAAGAAGTAGAAAGAAGTTGGAGAAGATGAGAGGTAAAGAGAAAAGGATTAAAATATTCATGTTTAACTTATTATGTTTAAAAGAGATTCTAATTGTTCTATCATGCATGTTAACAAACAAAGGATTTTGAACATTTTTTCCTCATCCTTTTACACATTTTCTAGTCCACAGGTAACTGGTAACACATCCTCTTAGCAAGCTGACTTCTTAGACATATTCACTATACTAGCATTCATTTTTTGAAAACTTTTAATAGGAATCAACTCAAGCATGACACTACATCCAAATTCCAATTACATGAATGGAGGGGTACAAAAGGGTCCACAACACTGTCATATGTGACATGTGATGTTGATGGAATTTCATAGAGAAGCATGACAGAATTGAATGTGCATTTACTCTACAAGCCCACTAGCAGCAAATTTGGGTCATAGTGAAACTATGGCTTTGATCTTGTCAGTTTACAGGATAATCTCCAGGAATTTGAGAGAGTTTTCTGTTTTGACAAACCACCTTTGAAGAGCTAATCTGGGGAAGCATATAGTAGAGATTTTAAGTATGTATATCACTGCTGTGGTATCCCTCTGGCCACAGAAGTGGAACTTAATAACAGGGATTATCTTAGACAAATTAAACACACAGGTCAGGTGATAAATTCTTTTATCTGATTTTTCCAAACAAGTTGCAGATCCAGTTCAACTAATTGAACAACCTCATATGCACTTTCTCAAGGTGAAAAGAACCAGCCCTTGTGGAGAACATGGGAGTGGGACTTTGTTGTCTGGATATACATAAAAGCTGAGGTTAGTTGGCCTGGACGCCCTTAGTACAAGGACAGGGTGACTTTCACTTCTGGCTACTGATCATTTAGATAACTACAAAGAGCCCAGCTTACATATGTTAGGACAAGTAGACACACGGATACCATTACATCAAAAGAATTAGACAAATTTGTGAATCTCTTGGTTTTCAACCTTTTAAATAATAAGAGCAATAATTGCATTACATAAGAACAATACACAACAACATCATCTTAAACTCCAGAGTAAAAGCAATCTCTAATTCTTAAAAATAAACTCCATTGAATACAGATGAAGGGATTCCAGTGGTACACATCCATACCCATTCCTAGCTCACAAGAATTTCCAGCAAAAAGAGATGCGCCGCTTAGTAATATTAAGAGTTTGATCCTGTGATGACTGCCTTCATGCAAGAGGACGCTGACAAAACACGCCCGAAGGGAAAGCCAAAGAGAACCGAAGTTGAAAGAAAAATTAAGAACCCTGACTAAGTACAGGAACTAGACCTTCAAATTTGTATAACTAATTGCCACCACTAATCATGATGTGTCAAGTGTTCTACCATCTTTGAGGAGAAATGATCCCAGCTCCAAATAATCTTGTGCAAGAGCAAAAACATATGTTTGACTGCAGCATCATCTGTAACTGCAAAGTTAGCTTTTAGAATCGTTAAAGTGTTCGACCTGTCCTCAAGTTTAACTAACTAACCAATTTGTCAAAGTTAGTACCAGCTCAAGCGAAAATGTCTTCAGTAACAAATGATGATTCAGTGTCCATATAAGGCTCTGATGGACATTGAAGTAGCTCATAATTTAGCTGTCTAGATGCTTCGTACAATGCGATGCCAACACTCACAGACAAATTCAGACATCTAACGTATGTTTCAACCATGGGGATTCGTATAGCACCACCACCATGTGGTTCTGTCTTACAATCAAGAAGGGCTTCAGGCGGCAGGCCACTGGTTTCTGAGCCAAATACAAGCCAATCGCCCTTCCTATAAGAAACTTCCTGCACCAATATAAATCAAATTCTGGACAAATCACTTTAAGAAGGAGCAGGTTTCAATATCCAACTCCCCTTGGATTGAACACTAAAACAGATTTCATTGGGAGGAAAATATTCACAAAAAGAGGTATAAGCAACATGCAAACAACCCTTCCTCCCAGAAGGATTTTAAAGTCATAAACTGTAGGTAATCGTGCCAAGTGAAATCTGGTAAGATGTGAACTTAGAGAAATGAAATCTTGATTGCTTTCTAAAATAAGATTGTGAGAAAACTAAAACATTTGCTAAAATCAGATAGAGAGATATATGAGGTGACTCGAAATGGTAATACTGTTACCGGGCTAATAAGTACTATTTAGTCTTTGCTAATAGTTTGAGACAGAGAACTATTTTTAAAGACTTGCATGAATTTGAAATTGCAAGAAATCAGACGAAAATTTTTGAACAATAGGAAAATTGTGAAGCAGGTCTAGTGGAGATGTCCAGTATGTGTATATCACCACATCCACTCCCCAGTTTCTACTTCAATTGACATCTTAAGAAATACCACAGATTTAAGGCATGCAATATACGAACTTAAGAATCAGGACTTTAGAAAGCACAAGCATATATTAGTTTGGAAAATATTTCATGTTAGGGAATTTAGGCAAATGCATAAACATGAGATTGAGATATGGTCCTGAACATAAACTCCACGCTTGACATATCTAAAAACTCCCTCACAGGACTGTATTATTGTAGAGTCTTTTAAGACAAGCCAACCCATGAACACTAATTAAATACTATGATCTGCCAGATAAAAACACAGCCAAGGGACTTTTAGAGTAAGCAACTTTTACAACAGAAAAGCCAATGATCACTTCACTTTGCTTCAAATTTATGCCCTAAATTCGCTTTTAAACAAAATCAATAGTTAACTGATAACTCATGATGCATTCCATCAAGCTCTCCATGTTAATTTTGTCATTTATTTATATTTACTAAAAAGGGGGGGGGGGGAGAACTGAAGAAAAGTCAAAGCTGTGAGAGCAATGGGACACAATTTCAAAACTGTACGTTCAATCACCACATTTAGCAATGATGCAATATATTATAGAGATTTCTGCGATTTCAAGAAGCCAAGAAAGTTTTCACTTTTCAGTGCCCTGTGTTTTACCAAACCAAAAGATGCTAAATGATGTCATGAGAAATGAAACTTAAACAAAGTCATGGACAAAATGAAGCACCAAGTCACTGAATGAACAGTCAAGTTCTTAAAATTGATAAATCATTAACAGGATAAAAGCACTCACAGAATGAACAGTAGCTCCTCTCTTAGTAAATGCTAGCAGCCTTTTTTCCCCAGTCTGAGAAAGTAAATGCACCTTAATCTAAAGTATAGAAAAGAGTGCATAAAATTCAAGGAGCTATATAACCTGTTGACTGAAATAGTCACGGAATTCTCCCCATGAGCCATGCACTTTAACAACTACATATCTGATGAAATATCAACGTTTCAACATTTCTCCAAATTTGAGTATTACAAATTGTAATTTAAATCCTACAACTAAAGCACAAAACAATCATGAAAGACAAAAGAATATGGAAATGTTACTGCAGATGCAAAGATTCAATAAGGCATAGTTTGCTGATTGCAGAAGTCAAGCCTGAGACTCGAAACTTATGGGGGTAAGATGTGGATAATGCTAATTAAGACAACATGAAAGAAGGTGAACAAGAGAAAAACATCTATAGTCAGGAATTGTATCTGTGTAGAAACACAGGCATTGCATTATTGTAAACTCCAGAAGGATACGGCCAATAATCAAGTCCAGCACGTTTTAATTTTGTATCATCAACCTGAAACCCCAATGGCTGAAAAAGAAGAACTAGTAATATTATCAAATTTGGAGAACTGAAACTGTGTGGACGAAAGCAATATTTTCTGATATGTTGTGTGGAAAAGAAATTTAGAGAAAAAAAAAAACTACATTAATGGATACCTCAACCAGATGTAGTCCAACTGCTGATGCTGCACAAGTTCTGGCTATGCACCCAGTGTTTCCAGGTATCTGTCCATCACGATCACAAAATATCAAAATCAGTCAAGATACTGCCCATGCTGAAAAGGATGGACTCTCTGCCAGTACAACATGCAATACAGTGAGACAAATCCACGAACAGCATTACAGAGGAAAAATTAATAACTCATCTACCATAATCTTATTTGCTGGAACATTTACATTCCAAATAATAACTCAATATATCACCAACGAAAATACAATAAATAATCTATGAAAGTCTTATTGCTAGAACATCTCCAAGAATCACGCACAAAAAGGCAAATAAGCTCTACTCTGCTTATTTCTTGGATATATGCATCTCAAAGTCCCAGGTCAGAATAAAAGAAAGGACTGCCTGCTGCAGTCATGCAGCATCATCATTTAAAGACAACTTAGTTTATATGTATAAATAAATGGATTATTTGTTCCCAAAATAAGTCTAGAAATTGACTTCCTATTCGTCTTTGTTGTTGTTCCTTCTTCCCCGTTGTGCTTTTTTTACCAAACTCTGTCCGTTGGAAAATTTCTAAATCCACATAAATTGAACAAACGAATAAATCAAGGGACAAGAATGATGAGGGAAAGTAAACTATGAACAAGAAGTGACAATAAAAATCAAGTGAATGATAAAGTGGTGCAAAAGGAAAGACGTAATGAGAACTAGCAGCCAAGGGTCTTTTGGGAGGCAAAAGGACTATTTTTTACTCTCCAAATCTCAAAACTTACACAAATAGTAGTAGCACATATTTATACAGGAATTGTGTTGGCAAACTTTGGACTTGTGGTTAACCAACTTAACAAAACTTCAACACAAAGAAAACAAACAAACTGCTTAAGAAAGCTAAGTAGCTGACTAAAACATATTAAGGATACAACTTATCCAATTGACTTCCAAAGTGATTGCAAGCCAAGCTCCCCATCTACAAATATACTTTTTGACACAAACTACATAGACAAAATAATGAAGCTTGGTTTACAAAATATTCTAACATTACCTTCCTGAAAACAAGCACTTCATCAGAATTAGATTAGAGGATTAGAATTAGATTAGAGTTACTCATCACCCACAGCGCGACAGAGTTTTCCATTTAGATCGTTACTTGAGATGGCATTAGACATAATTCTGATAAAGAGCTTGGTTTGATTTTAGAATATCTATTTAAACCAAGCTTCATTACTGTGTTAGTTTATGTGTCAAAATATAATTGGTAGAAGGGGAGGTTGGCATGTGATCACTAAGGAAGTCAATTGGATAAGTTGTCTCCTTAGCATGTTTTAGCCAGCTACTTAGCTTTCTTAAGCAGTTTGTTTGTTTTCTTTTTGTTGATGCTTTGTTAAGTCGGCTAAGCACAAGTCCAAAGTTTGCCGATCCACTTCCAATCTTAATATGTACCACTAATATTTGTATAAGTTTGAGGTTTGGATAATAAAAGGTATATTTCTTTGCCTCCCTAAAGGCCCTTGGCTGCTAGCCCTGATTACTTCTTTCCTTTTACACCACTTTATCTTTCCTTTGTTTTTTATTGTCACTTCTTGGTTCTAGGTTATTTTCCGTTATCTTTTCTGTGCAATGACTTACATTTTTGTTCACATTATGTGGATTCAAAAAATTTCCCAACAACTGCTCTTCTGCACACCCCCCCCCCCTTCTCCATCAAGTTTTTATGCATACATCAAGAGGGAAGACTAAAGCAGAAAGCATGGCATGTATCCTCCAGCCTCTTTCACCCCCAATAACTCCCTCTTCACCACCACTGTCAACATAAAGACCACCTCAGAAGCCCTTCTCATCGTCAGGAGTAAAAGTAAACCAAAGCCATCCCTCTTCCAATAATTTCCAATAGATGTATCAATATTTGGATGAAAAACCCATAAACAGACTGTTTCTTTAGTATTCATTGCTTTATGACTGCCTGTTGTTTAGTCCTGCTTGTTAAAAAAAAAAAAAAACACTTCAAGCATGTAGATCAAATTCTTTCCATAAGCTAGAAGCTGAACAGTTGGAAAACATCGAGCAGTTCACTCAAAGATGAGAAGTATAACTGTTGATACAACAACTTGCAAGAAAAGTACACATGATTCACAATCTTTATTCACTTACATCACAACTAATACAATTCTACAGCCCATAATCACATGACAAAGTTCTTACAAACACACTAAACTTGGACAAATACAATCCTTTTAACTATAGAACATCCTTATTTACTAACAGGAAACCTATTCCATGAGAAATAACTAAAAACTTAATTTTCTCTTGTCCACTGCCACTTCAATGCATTAGTTTGAAGCGGAATCATCACCATCACCTCTAGGCTCTATCTTCTTCTTCTTGCAAGGTCCAGAAACAATTTCAGCCAATTTCTTAACGGCCATTCCCGTCACCGACTTCTTCTTTGCAGGAAATATGCTAGCAGATTTACCTTTGCTTCCCACTCCCCCATTATTGTTGCTCTCCCTGTCTGCCATTTTTTCTCTGTCCTCTCTCTATCTTCAAATCACTCTCTACCTTCTAGTCTCAACCTTTACCTTAATTTGCTTTAGCTCTTTGTGGTTTCTAGCCTTAGTATTAAGCCATATTTATAGGTGCCAAACTGGTAATTTCTGTATTCCTTCCAGTAAATTGCTGTTGTGTTCCTATCTTGCTTCTACATTTCATACTCCTGTGTTCTATCATGCACTTTCTTCTTGCATTTCATCTTACATATACGTTTGATGGTGTGGGAGTGTGGTTATGTGTGCATGATAGTTCGTATGATGTCTATTGCCTGAACATTTCCATGTGTTTTCTAAGCCTGTGGTTGTGTGGATGAGCACGCATAGTTTAACAAAAATCCAGCCTTTTTTATTATTGCTATCTTCTCTTTAGTAATCTAGCCTTAGTATTAAACTATATTTATAGTTGCAAAACTGGTAATTTCTGTATTCCTTCCAGTAAATTGCTGTTGCGTTTCTATCTTGCTTCTACATTTCATACTTCTGTGTTCTATCATACACTTTCTTCTTGCATTTCATCTTACATATACGTTTGATGGTGTGGGAGTGTGGTTGTGTGTGCATGATAGTTCTTATGATGTCTATTGCCTGAACATTTCCATGTGTTTTCTGAGCCTGTGGTTGTGTGGATGAACACGCAGAGTTTAACAAAAATCCAGCCTTTTTTTTATTGCTATCTTCTCTTTAGTAATCTAGCCTTAGTATTAAACTATATTTAAAGTTGCAAAACTGGTAATTTCTGTATTCCTTCCAGTAAATTGCTGTTGCGTTTCTATCTTGCTTCTACATTTCATACGCCTGTGTTCTATCATGCACTTTCTTCTTGCATTTCATCTTGCACATACGTTTGATGGTGTGGGAGTGTGGTTGTGTGTGCATGATAGTTCGTATGATGTCTATTGCCTGAACATTTCCATGTGTTTTCTAAGCCTGTGGTTGTGTGGATGAGCACGCATAGTTTAACAAAAATCCAGCCTTTTTTTTTATTGCTATCTTCTCTTTAGTAATCTAGAAGGGGGTAAGCCAGGAGAAGTATTCCAGAACTCGTACGCGGGCATGCCATCCAGCCACGGGCTATCAACCCAATGGCAAAGTGAAACAACAAAAATTTAACCTTTCCAACGAAAAGTTGAACATTGCCGTCCTGATTCTCATATGTGACGGTGGATTTCTATATCAAAGAAATTGCTCGGAATAAAAGATGCAAGCACCCAGGACATTGCTGGGAACAAGAACTTGCCCTCAATAGAAAAGCAACAGAAAATGTAGTCAAATGATTATTCTTCAGTTCAGAAAAAATAAGACTAATTTTCCTCTGCACCCTGGGATATCAAGCCCCTCCCACCGCCTCAACTCCACCCTCACCCCCCACACCCAAAAAAAAAAAAAAAGGAAACTTTGAACAACGGTACTAAAAAGCAACATATTAGCAGATTTTTCCCCCGCGGGAGGGGGGGGGGGTTGTGGAGGGGTCCCTTTTAATATGCAAGAATTTCTTGAATATTGTAGTAACGAATTAGAAACGGTCGTTTTGAGATCAAGTAGTACCTGAGGAGAAACCAACACGACTTGAAGAAGTCTATTCTGGGAAACTTCATTAACAGCCTCCCCAGCTCCACTAGGCAAAGCTTTCACACCACCCCTTTCAGCTATGCAAAATTTTAAAGAAAATTAGTACAACAGTAGAACTAACAATCAATTTCGAAAGTAACAAAATGGGTTCTACTAAAACTAAACAAAATACGCTTTTTCTGTTTTTTAAACGTACTTTTAGAGGAGAAAGAGGAGATTGAATGAGAACGCGAATAGAGGAAAACTTGGAATTTAGGCTTTGTCGGTGGAAAATAGAAAAAGGGATGCAAGATTGGAGCATTGTAGCGGAAATTGGATGGTGGACTTATTGTTATGTTTATTGTTTTGGAGTTCATTTCCAGAGTGGACTGTGTTGCCTAATGCTTTGGTTTATCAGCAAGGAAGAAGAATAGAATATGCCTAGAGCCTAGAGCCTAGAGCCTAGAGCAGGCACTTTATTAGTAAATCTAAAAAATTCCCAAGATTTTGAAATGGGTTAACTTTTACCCCATCTTAATTTCACATAACAATTTCGTGGAAAAGGGAACATTTGCTGCACCTTCGTTTTTTTTGTGTTTTAGGTCCAAAAAAAACCTTTATATATTTGTCACATAGAATTAAGAATTGTCATGATAATAATTAGTACGACCTATTTCCAAATTTTGGTTAACTTTTGATAGCTTCTTCGGAGGTTTTCTTCAAAAAACATATTGTCCACTGAATATAACTTTGAAAAATAGTTTTTTTTTTTGTATTCTTTCAATGGCAGCATTTTGCTCACCAATTAAGGAGTGGTTATGGAAGTTTTGATTTGACTAAGTGAATATTTATTTTTAATTTGGTATAGATTAGTGTCTTTTTTATGGATTAGAAATGAAAAGTTGCACATTTTTAATTCACTTAAATAATTACAAAAGATGTTGATGGCGTGAAAAATTACTCTAAGTTAGTGGAGAAAGAAATTAAAATTTTGTTCTTAGAACTGAATAACAAGCACAAATAGTTTAATTTGATATACATTATTCATTGTCTAGAAATGGAAAAAGTTTTCCAATATCATAAATAGGTAAAAAAAAAATATTGATGGAGTTTATAATTTATTTTGGTTTTCAAAGTTCTTATCAAATATTTGTCCCTTTAAATCTATGAAAGATTAAAACAAAATGGGGGAAAAAGTTTTAAGGCTTTAAGTTAGTAAAATCTTTCATAACACTAACTAACGTGATTGAAATAAATCAAGTATATCAAAATCGTAAATTTTTTATTGAGATTTTAAGTGAAAGTTCTTTTTAAAAATATGTCAGTAAAAACTAAAGATCAACAATATATATGTAGAAAACAGAAATAAAAGAAACTCCAAGGACCGGGCTTGCAAATTCAGTTCCTATATAAGCATGCCGCGCAATCGAAATCACGTGAGTTCTATTCACCGGCACCGTTGTTCTACAGAGACCTGGCTGACATTTTTCTCCTCAGAAAAAATTGAGGTACGAAGAATATGTACATATATATATAGATATATATCTGTTAATAAATCTATATATTTCTGCTTCGATTTAGGGTTCCGATTGACAATCGAATTTCTTAATCAGGTAGTTAATTTTGACGATTATGACGGAAAGTATCTTAAATTTGTTTTTTCCTTTTGAGATTTTCATTAGTTTCTTTGATGAAATTGATTAGAGTTTTAGGGTTTGAAATTGTTAACCTTAATGCTCCTTGATCGATCTCTGTTTGGTTTTTTAATAATTGGCATTCCTTTTTGGTTTTTCGTTATAGTCTTGGTAATATTGGAGCTTTTGATTTGTATTTTGATGGGCTGTGATTATTTATCTCGCCAAATAAGTGGGGAAAAAGTAGAAATCTTTGCGGATTATGTGGCAATTTGAGCAATGAATTGTTTCTTTAAAAAAATAAAATTATAAGGGTATATAAATGTTGGATTTTTCTTTTTCTTTTTGATTTTTTTTTTTTTTTGAGAATTTGTTTTTCGGTTTGGAGCTGAATCAGTGGATGAAAGATTGGATAATTTTGGGGGACAGTAAAGGCCAGTTGTATGTATGATGATTTAAAGATGCCTATTACCCATGTTTCTCATTTTTTGTTTTTGGGTGACAATGGGAATTTTTGAGATGGAAATGAACAGGACCTAGCGCAGCCTAATTAACGGCTTCTTCAAGATTGTATCAAGGCTAACTTTTATGTTTCCATGGTAGTCCTTGAAATGCCTGCATGTCTTTACCAAAATTATATCCAACACTTGTATGTATGCATTTGGTTTTAAAATTTTTGTATCGGATATTAATTTGATACAAAATGGGGTTCTAATTGTTGAAAATGTTGCCTTGGAGATTCTAATTTATTTATGTGGCTTTGATAGTTAGAAGAATTATACTCTTATACTGAGCAACTGAAAGTATGTAACCATATGGCTTTGAATGATATTGGAATCTCTAACTACTCTGGTATTTTGCTGGAACTAACAAGGTTGCCAAACGGTCTATAGTGTCATTTAACACTTTGTTCTGCTGATTTTGGTAGCATTTAAATTGAGATCATGAGACTGCAGTAAATAAATATTTATACAAAGATGAACCATCTATTCTTTTGCTGAATAGCTTGTAAGCTTGCTTGTCAAGCAGTTTGTAAAACAGCAGGAAAGAAACCTGGTTTTTTGCTAATGGAGAAGGGAAAAGAATCTAGTCTGTTTGTTAATGATGGTTCATTCATGGAGAGATTCAAGCAGCTTCAACAGGAGAAGGAGCAGAAGGAAAAAGAGAAACTTGTGCCAGTAGAGCAACTTAAATCAGGCCCAAATCTATCAGGAACTTCAACACCTAAGCTTGTCATTGGTAAACCAATGATGAGTATTAAGGCAAATGATTCTCGTAAAACTTCTCAAGCTGCTTCGAGTGGTAAGCTTGCGTTCAGCTTGAAACAAAAATCGAAACTTGTGGCACCCCCTGTTAAGTTAGGTGAAGATGAGGATGAAGAAAAAACAGAAGCCGGAAATCCATCTGATGATGGACCAGTAAAGCGGCAGAAGTTGGGTGAGCCTGACGCTTTTCAGCAATCATCCAGACAAGTTGATGTTGGTAATTCCTTTCTTTTCATCTGGTTTATTCAGGGCTAAAAATATAGCAGGATTCTGCACTAAATTTAACTAGCAATGCACTGAAGTGCTTTGCTCTAGCAGAGAGAAGCATAGATAATTGTGATGCATGATGCTTCCCTTTTTGGCCCTTCTTGTTGATATTGGGCATGACTTGCTACGCATAAGATTTCAAATCCACAGACATTGACAAGGATCAATATTCTTAGTGAAGACAGCTGTTTTGCCTGATATTAGGATTTCAACATGGTAGACTTACATGTTGAGGGAACTGCTCCTTGATGGATTGGTTTAGTGTCCTGTAGAGTATTTTGTTACTCTATACCATAAATATATATTGATTTTGCACAATTGGTTACATTTTATCATTCTCAGCTAAGGTTTTTGACTGTTGGATGCTCTTTTCACTAGGCTGGCCGCTTTGGTTACTTATCTCCCCTGTTGCATAGTAATATCCATGTGTTAAATATTCTAGGCCCTCTGCTTTGTTCCTATCTAGTGTTTTTTCTTCCTCATGCAGTTTTACAGATCTCTTTTTCCCTTTGACTGGGTTGTAATGTCTGTACCAGTCTGATACTTCAAATTCTTTGTCTCTGGGCTGGGCTGATATACTATAAGTCATTGTGGCAGCTTTTAGACAATATGCTCATATTGCACAATGCTAGCTTGATTGTCGCCCTTGCCCTACCTTTTCAAAATTGTCTAGGCATGAAGTAGTCATGAAAGGGACAAAACATTCTTGAATTATTCTTATCTGATGAATGCAGTGTATACTATAATCCCATATCAACATTGCCGGAAAGGGATGTTCAATGAAAGATTTGGAAAATGTGGCAAGCCTGCTACAAGAGTAATTTACATTCACTTGTTCATGCTCTTGGTATTAACCAGTTCTTTAAGTGCATGCAGCACCACCTTCCCCAAGTGATCCTACAGTGAAGAAAGTTGCAGACAAACTAGCAAGTTTTGTGGCTAAGAATGGGAGGCAGTTTGAACATATTACACGTCAAAAAAATCCTGGAGACACTCCCTTTAAGTATGTGTTTTACTTCTGCAATTTGCTGGTAGTTGTTCAGAGTGCAGAATGTTCTCTGGATAAGAAATTTTGTGGGTTATGCGTATGTTTGGTCCTTTTGTTCATTTATTTATTTATTTACTTGTGTTTCTTTTTTTGGTCCTTTTTTCTTATCTACTCTTTTCCATGATTACTCTTTCTTTCTTATTTATACTTGTTTTTAATCTCCCAGACCTTTAGTAACTCGATGATTTTTGTAACTAACAGAAATGAGGGGATTGAGATTTGAGAGAGCCTGATTGACTCCTATTTGTATATGGGCAGATACTTGTTAACATTCCCTTTTCCAAGCAAAATAAGTGTGTGGTCTCAAATGGTACTGTAGAGATCCCCTTCTTATAGCTCCTAAAAGTGCAGTTTTCTGCACATACATACTCTTAAGCTGATTAGTTCTAGCTTGTCAAGATGGTCTACATCAATATTAGAGGGAAACTTTGAAAATCTTTTTAAGTGTACGTTTCCTTGAATTCTTGGGTGCTGTATTAGTAAATTATTTTTCCCAAGTTTAACAGGTGGTCAAAAGTACATTCCCAATTAGTCGGTCCAAGTGGTTCCCTACCTACTTACCTATAAAGATGGCCTGGGGCATGTTTTAATGTAGTTGCAATGAACTTTAGCGGTACACTCTTTTTGGTATGATAGATATTGTCCTCAAGTGACAGAATGAAAGGACATTGAAATTTTGTCAGTGTGTGGTGATGGCATGATTTGTGTTGAATTGTTAATAGTTACTGAAATGATTTGGGGTAAAACTGAATGAAGTGCTTATCACATGTTTCATCGGATTTTCTGGTGCAATTAATATATCTTGGCCTGGCCATTCTTGCAGGTTTTTGTTCGATCAAAGTTGTTCTGATTATAAGTACTATGAATATCGGCTTAGTGAAGAGGAGAAAGCTCTGTCAGAATCCATGGATAACCAAACGCCCCAAAGTGGTTAGTGCCTTAATTTCAGTCCCCGAGGTGTTGTTTATTTCATCATGCTCCTAGCTGGAGGTTGTTGATGGATTGCTTTAAAGTAGTGCTGTTGGTGCTCTGATGAGGATATCACTGCGTCTAAAACTTGTGCCTTTAATAGCTGTGACTTGTTTATTGTATTGCTCTGCACTTGATGGGGTTTGGCTAGAATATTTTCTTGCGGTGTCAATTGTCTTCTCTGTTTTCTGGTCTGCCTAGTTTGTTTGTAGATTGTGAGCTTTTGATGTATGCATTATCTGTCTTATCTTGAAATGGTGAGGATC